ATATTCTAACAAGACACTTCACGATGAGCGTCTTTTGCGGTCAGTAATATTTCCAAAATGTTTTGTTTACTATTGGTGATCCACTCCGCTAGAATTGCCCTTAAAATCACGTTTGTTTGCGATCCGCCCCCCTAGGATTACCCTTAAAATCACTTCTGTGTGTCTGTGTGGGTGATTTCCAGTGTTTTCACGTATTAATTATTCTGTGATTATTTTGGCATGGCCAATTTTGCTCAAACTTTGCAGGTAGGGCACACCTTCACCCTAGTTATAAGGAAAAATCTGAAAAAAAATATTCTGGCCCAACATTTCCATGGCAACAGCCAAAAAACTGATTTTTTTTAATACCTTCACGCCAAATGTATCTCACCCTACATTTCTACGATTAAGTAGCTTATTCTACTCAGTCTTAGTGTGGGCATAAATTCACTGGGTTTTTAGCTCCGCTGTCGACTTTGTCGAGCGGAGCTTATCATATGAGTGATTGTCCGTCGTCGTCGTCCGTCGTCCGTGTCAATGTTTTACTTTTTCGACTTCTTCTTGAAAACTACAAGCCTAAATGCTTTGATACTTGGTGTATATGTACCTTGGGTAGACCTCTCTTAGATTTGTTCATTTCATGTTGATATCTTTAATTCTCTAATTTTGGTGAATATTTTTGTCATTTTTGGTAAAAACTGATATTTTCGACTTCTTGTTAAAAACCGCAAGTGCAATTGCTTTGATATTACATATATAGGTACTACATGTGGACCTCTCTCAGATTTGTTCATTTCGTGATGATATCTTCAATTCTCTAATTTTGGTGAATATTTTTGTCATTTTTGGTAAAAACTGATATTTTCGACTTCTTGTTAAAAACCGCAAGTGCAATTGCTTTGATATTACATATATAGGTACTACATGTGGACCTCTCTCAGATTTGTTCATTTTGTAATGATATCTTTAATTCTCTAATTTTGGTGAATATTTTTGTCATTTTTGGTAAAAACTTATATTTT